TTATTTCGACACATGGAAATCACAATATACAAATTACTGAGAGATTCTATGGCTTTTTTCACAGTAAGTCTTCAAAACACGGAACACTGTGTTTTTTACACTTTAATGTCGCACTTGCCTTGGACAGCACACGCCCAGGGCCTTGAACAGTCTCGACACGGCTCAGTCTCTCACTGCGGTTTGCTAGGAACTCAACGAATGAGCCGTGCATTGGCCATTCGGGCCAGTCATTAGGCGCTCACTGTATGCATCTACCCTGCAGACCCAGGGCCCAGCGCCCAGGCCTCCCTGTGATTCTGGCACCCACGGCCAACTGTCCTGTCTTCCCCCAGGGGCAGGGTTTCTTGCGTCCAAACCTGATGTAATCTCCCGTCTGGAGCGAGGGGAAGCGCCAAAGATGGAGGAGAGAGAAGCCCAGCGAGTTCCCCGTGCAGGTGGGCGAGGATGCCCAGCAGGTGCGCGCCCTCTTCCTACCCGACCTATCATGGTCAGTGAGGTTCTTTCAGGAATGAGGCAGCAGAACACACAGGCAGTAATCATGCGCGCTGGAGTCGGGCTGCCGGGTTCAAATCCCAGCTGACCACTTCCTGGCTGTGTGGCCTTAGCCTCTCTGTCCCTTGATTTCTCATCTGTAAAAAGGGGATGATACCAGTACCAAGGATGGAGAGGAATCAATGCGTTAACAGCTACAGAGCAACACCCCGCCCCCCAGTCAGTAGCGGCTTTGATAGGTGTCATTATTGTAATGTTTATTGGGAATAGCCTTCGGAAAGACCCAGAAGTAGGACCTGGCCTACCATGTTGAAGGAACAGGAAGAAGCCAGAAAAAGCCTCCCTATGGACTCTGGCCTCCATTGGAGGAGGGGACGGAAGCATCCATGTTTCCATCACCATCCAGACCCTCCCCTCCCACCCCCCCACACACAGCCCATCAGTCCCTAGCCTTGTCCCCTCTTCCTGCCCCTGGCCAGGCCTCATCTCCTCTCCCTGGACTCTCATCTCAGCCTCCTCCTTGGTCTCCTGGACTCCAGGCCTCCCCACTCCAGTCTGTCTCCCACACAGCACAGAGGGGTCCTTCCATACTGAGAGCTGACCCCATCCTTCCCCTGCTCATGCCTTCCCATGGCTCCCAGCACTCCCAGGATGGAGCCCCAGCCCCTCAGCCTGGCACCCTGTGTGGTCTGTCCCACACTGTCCCTGCCCTCATCTTAACCATCCACCCCATGCCCTGACCTCACTGAAGCACCTGTCCCTACCTGAACCAGGATGGGTGTTCTCACCTTTGGGCTTTCATACATGCTGTTCCCTCTGCCTGAAACACGCTTCCCTGCTTTGTATGCCTGACAAACACCTTCATGTTCCTCAAGACAAAGCTTATAGGTCACCTCCTCCAGGAAGCCTTCCACGATTCTAGGCCATTGCTTCTCAATGTTTTCACAGCTTCTTGCTCAAGGTGCTGTTACTGCACTTGTGCATGTCGTGGTTAAGAGTGTAGGTTCTTGTGGAGACACTTTGTGAAAAAAAAAAAAGAAAAAAAAATAAAGATTAAAAAAAAGAGTGTTAGGTTCTAAGTTCAAATCCCTTCTCTGCCACTGACAGGCTGTGGGACCATGGGCAAATGATTTAATCTATTGTTGTCTCTACAAGCTTAGAACGATGCTTGGCACACAGTAAGCATTTAATAAATGTTTAGTGAATTGAA